GGGGAGGGTGTTGCAGTGTGCTTTGGCCCCTCCCCAGAGAGCTGCAGCCATGCAGCCCCCTCCTGGGTGGCTGAGCCTCTGAGCCACGCCTGCACCCTTTGCCACCTCCCCGAAGCCTGGGAGGCATGCCCTCCGTGCCGCTGATTCTCAGGGTGGCCAGGGTTGCCCCTCACCCAGGAGGGTCTGGTGAGAAGAGACATGGCCAGTGAAGCCTGCTTGGAAGTCCTCCCTGCAGCCGCACGGCCAGTCAGGCCCATGGTACACGAGCTGGCCAAGAATGAGAACCTCAAGGGTCACAAGACCCCAGGCCCCAGGCGATCCGGCTCAGAGGACTCAAGCTCACGGGTTGCCCCGCTGTTCTGTGGCTCGTCAGGCGGAGGGCGCACCCCAGCCCCAGGCACGGCTGCAGGTGACATGTGAGCAGGGGAGCTCGCCGCCAAGGCCTGGGATCAGGGAGCCCAGCTGCACCACCGGCTTAATCCAGAGCCGCCCAGGGGGCTGCGCTGTCGACCTCCCACTCTCCTCCCCAAATCTGCATGCTGCTTGCTTTCTGTCTGCTCCTTGCAGGTCAGAGCAGCCCACATCCTTCGATGGCACTTCACGTGTCTAGTTAGCTTAGGGTGAGCCCATAAAGCCAAGGCAGCCAGTGGCCACTGACATGGAGACCCCAGGCAGCACTGCCTGTTAGACCACAACGTGGCCCAGTATGTCCTCTTCTGTGATGGCCCCAGCAAGGCGGCCCAAGTGGCCTTCCAGCCATAGCAGAGCCAGAGGCTACCGCCACCTGGACGGGGCCATGGAGGGCCCAGCCCTCATCCACCTCCTGCTCCCCACGGGGGCCTGCTGAGCCGCTGCCCAGCCCTGCCTATCCAGGGTGCACGTGGGAGCCGCCTCAGCCTGGAGCGCGCTGGTCGGAGGGGTAAGCAGTGCACGGTGGGCACCCGGCACAGTGAGCGAAGCCACGTGGGCCAAGCAGGGGACAGGGCACGGGCAGGCAGCAAGCCCCTGGATGAGCCCCAGAGAGCAGGCAATGTGCCCTTGGGGACAGAGTTGGGGGGTCTCCAGGGAAACCCGAAGTGTCGTGGGCGACTCCCATGGGGAATGGCCTTCCAGGCGCCATATGAAGTCCTTGTGACCCTAAGCAGATGGCGTCTTCATACACACACTCCACACACACATCCGCCGGCACGTGGATCAGTGGGAAACAAACGTGGGCTGACCCCATAGCGCAGCGCTTAACTGAGACCCGATCCCACGTGGCCAACCAGGGTCTGAGCCCAAGCTGCGTCTGCTTGGAAAAAAACAGAAATGCTTCAAAGCACCTGATGCGTCCTCAGTGCAGAAGTCACTGGGTCCATCGGCACAGCACTGTGACAGTGTCCTCCTAGCCCAGACGGCCGGTGTCCCGACAGCGCACCCTAACGGCCTGGGATGTACACACCGCGCTCTGCCAACGTGAGCCGCAACTGTGGAAGATGGAGGAGAACAAAGAGTTAAACTAAGGTGACATGTAAGCGTCCCAGAGTCCCTTGGGCAAAAACGAGAAAACTGCTAACTATTACAATCAAAGTATCTTGGGACCAGCAGTAATGGCTATGTCGCGGGACTCCCATGTAGTTGGCTGCAGTTCAAGTCCCGGACCCAGTGGCTTAAACTCACGCCAGGCTTGTGTGCATACGTGCCCAAGATCCCAAGAGGAGAATGGAGAAGGGATTGTGGCGTGGCCATCCCCCCGGGGGGTGATTTCTCGCTTTCTGTCTTTCTTTGTCTTTCTGGCAGGCGCACCACCCTACAGCAAAAAACTCTCAAAAAAAGTAAATAAATAAAATAAAAAATCAAAGCGTCCACTTCTTTTCTTTTCTTCCTTTGAGGGGGAACGGTATGATGTAGGCGGAAACAGACCACCTTCCAGTATCCCTGAAGTTAAAAAGAAAATTATCTCAGAAGGTTGTCTCGGGCAATTTTTCTAACAGTGCAGCAGACAGAGCAGCAGCAGCACGGCAGGGCCATCCCACGCCGCCCCCGGCCATGCCTCTCTGGAGCTCTGTCTGGAGCTCTGCCTGTCGTCCTTCTCTTACCCGATTACACCAAGACTTAGCACGCTGGAAATTAAAATGGGGGCTTTCTTTTTGCAGTTTTGCTATGGGGCACATAGTCTCATCAGAAAGCAATCACTCCACGGTGGGGCTGGCCACACCGCAATCCCTCTGTTCCCCTCTCAGGGTTTTGGACATACACATGCACGTGCTGTGTTTTGTAAGCTGCTATGTCTGAGACTCGAACCATACAGTCAGCTATGTGGGATCCAGCACCTCAACCACCATGCCACTGGCTGGTCCGAAACTGTACATTTAAAAACATTTAATACATTAAAAAACAAAAGCCCATCATTTGTTGTTGTTTTTGTGTTTATTGTTTTTATTTTGAGAGAGAGAGAGAGGGAAATGAGAAAGCAAGCCACCAGGACGAGCGGTCTTGAACTGTGGCTGGCCAAGTGGGGGTCCAGTGCTTTAATCACATCACCTGCTGGCCCCAAATTAAATAGTATTTTGAGTAACTATTTCCAAAAGCAGATAAAAAATGTCGCAAGAAAGCCATCACAGTTGTGTTTATGTCTTTGTCCCCCAATCCAACAGAAGCTAGCAGGACCCTGTCGCTGCTCCCACCCCACACTGTGAGGTGGGTGCCAGAGAGGAGGTGAGTCCGGCCTCCTGGAGGTACACGGAGGTGGAGAGGGACTTGGGAGCCAGGGTCCTCAGGCGGCTCAGTGACTGTGGTTCCAGGTGCCAAATGCACTCACCTCCCGTCTTCACGGCCACAGGGCTGCCCTGCAGAGTGTGGGTGGAGGTGACGGTGCAGTTTGGAGCCATCCTGCACCTGTTCTCACGGTGACGAAACACACCTGGCCTAGGAGAGAGATGGAAGCAGAGCCTAGTGGCCCAGCGCCATCCGGCAGGGTCAGCCGGCCTAGAAGAATGCGTGAGAAACACATGGCCTCACGGACATGGATTCTGGGGTGGTGAGTTACGTAGCAGACGCCAAATGCCCACCGGAGGGTGGTGATGAGCTCCACGGAGACCTCAGCCAAGGCCAAAGCAGGGCTAGCCCTGGTGTCCACAGCCTTGGTCGCGGGCAAATCCCCAGCAAAGCCGCTCTTGTCACAGAGCAAGGTGGCTTTGTGACCTGAAAGGCCCACAGTAGCCAGGAGGGCGTACACGTAGACGCGGCGAGGCCGAGGCACAGCTGCGCGGGAGCACAGGGGCGGCAGGCCAGGAAGAGAGCGCAGCCGCGGTCTTGTGGCAGGTGTTTATTCATAGGGAGCAGGGCATGTACACGACACGGACATTCTCTGGAGTACACGTTCCATGACAGCGCGACACGGCTTGTGGGGCCCCCATGTGGGCACACCGCACGGGCTAGCGTGGGGCGCCAAGGGAGGGCACCACGTGGCCTTGTGCGTGCCATCGTGGTTTAAGCAACCTCTGGATGCATTCAAGTAATCCCGATCACTTCATGTTCAAAAATCTTTTAATAAACAAATTCAGTAAAATTAATTGAAATATTTATAATACGGTCTCAGCGTTACACAGTATTTCCAATGTACAGTCAGGACGACGCACGGCACCTGAAGGGAGAGGCAGGCAGAAACCCAGGGCACCCGCAGGCCGGGCTTTGTGTGGCTCGGGGTGCTGCCTCCCGGCTCGGCCGCCCACACCTACACGCAGGGCACACGCAGAGGCCGCAGGCGACGCGGCATCACAAAGTGAGATGACCTCGGTCTCAGGGACAGCCAGGCGTCCTGCGTGTGCAGCTGGCTCCCTGCTGCTATGCCCAGCGGGTCTGACGGGCAGGCGCGGCGCCCGCCATGCTCCTCGCACACGGTCCTAGGCGACACCAGGGCCTCCAGCCGTCTGGCAGCAGCCCTCGCCCCGCTCTGCTCCGCGGGGCACCTGTGCACCTCAGTGTCCGGTCAGGTAGTCTTGCGTAGAGTCGGAAGCAAACGAGTCGGCGTCCTCGTTGTCCGAGTCGTCGCTGCTGTCGCCAGCGGCCGGCTCCCCGGTGAGGGCGATGCGGGCGTAGTCGTCCGTGTCGATGGACTTGCAGAAGTGGATGGCGTACTTGAGCTTCTCCTCCAGCACCTGCCGGCACGAGTACCTGGGCAGCTTCAGCAAGAAGAAGCAGGTGTAGGACTCAGGGAGGAAGTGGTCGGGCGGGCTGTATTTGTCCAGCACCTGTTGGGGGACAGTGGGCGTCACCAGGGACTGTGAGCCTCATGGACCGTGGCCACCGGCCACGATGCTCATGAAGACGGCCGCAGCTGTGGCGAGCAATGACGAGGATCAGAGAACGGGATCCCGCGCATCGCAGCAAAAGCAGCAGCTCTTTCCGAGGACTTGTTAAAACAGCGATCAGGGGACCAGCAGTTAGCGTAACAGCTATGTCGCTGGACTCCCACGTAGTCGACCGTGGTTCGCGTCCCAGACCCGGTGGCTTAAAACTCACGCCGGGCGCGTGTGCGTGCGTGCCCAAGATCCCGAGAGGAGAATGGAGGAGAAGGGATTGCGGC